TCTTCGCTTATCTATTTGTAGCGTAATAAAATTGAGATATGTAAAGAGACCAAAAAAAAAAACACAACACCGATGGGTCAGCAAATACATTCGACTGGGGCGGTTGATTTGGAAAATGCAGTAAATATGCGTTATCAACCAAGCGTGAGATCAAGATGGCTGGATATTAGCCAAGTTCTTTTTTTGCATTTTTATGGACCAAACAAGCTTGGCTAATAAATTTATTATTTATTTATTAATAGATTCATTTTATTAATGTTATTAATTTAATAGATTTATTAGATTAATTTAATAGATACTGGTTTGTCAGCGTAAGCTGTTATGTGTACACCCTCTTTAAATAAAGTTGACTTACTTACTTAGATTTATTATATTAATTATATTAATTTAATAGATTTATTATATTGCAAAATGATTACGCTTTATGAAGAATTAAGAATTAATGTCTTGTTTCTTTCGAGAGCCGGGAAAGAAAGCCAGCTGTTTTTATAGCACAACTAACTCACGGGACTCGTTTCTGTTTTCTCCGTTTTGACTATCTTCTGGCGCTTTTTGCGTTTCCGTCACCGAAATTGTCCAAGAGTTACGAACGTAACTCTTATTTTATTTTTTCGTGCGCGGAATCAATGCGGGCAATCTCGAACGGGTAAGATGCCCGCACGTGTAGCCAATCAGAACACAGGATTCGCTTCATCTTGCCCACGGGCGCTGCATGCGATGAAATGATTAAGCTTATTACTGTTATTTCTTATTACTGCTTAATACTTACTACTGTGACAGTTGGAGAGCTGGCAAGCTCAAATTAGATTAAGATATGTACATCTAAATGATTTACCATGTTTATAAAGTATTTTATTCGACCAATACACGGCTACTCCATATAGGTACCTCATAGGGTATTCCATGGAATAGGACTCCGCGTTTTTCCATCTCCCGCTTGCGAGAGTGCAATGACTCTTTTCAGTGTGGTGCAACCCGTACCTAAGATTCAAGCAGTTGCGTTTTAAGAGCGTAAAACTTCTTGCACAAGCTTCAGTTCTAACACAAGCCGGGTCTGGGTGTGTTGGTTTGTGAGAGGAGCACTAACTCGTGTTACGATCACCAGAACTGAAAAAATTACTCGAGACCACGCTTACAACCAAGATGGCTGTTTCAGACAACTGCGCCGTACGACACTAGACCACGTGACAGGCGCTCGACTCTTGTGGAAAATTAAATGAATAAATAAACCAGATCGTGCCATAATGTGGCTACACAATTTGTGTAAGTCACACAAAAAATGCTTCAATTAAATTAGTCTTCTACTGCGTTAACTACTCGGCACTGCTATTGGTTTATCTAACTCAATGCTGTATTTTGAAAACACCTTAGTAACCTGGCCACTTACGTAAGAACACAATGTGCGATTTACAAATTTAGTTAAAAATTAAGAGCTTGTCAAGTTTTGTGCTTTACATGTAACAGATCTACAGTGTTTGATCGTGGTTTGTACTCTCATCGACAACGATATTTGTGATGCGCAACAAATTTGGACTTCCGCGATGACGAATATCGTTGTGGACAAGATCACAAACGCTAAGCCACTGTCGATTTGTTTTTACCCCAATGTCGACGTTAATTTAAGCGATTTTTCAGTATGTGACCATTGCGTGACAGTTCGATGCGAGTACCGTTGTCTGTAATCTTATCGACGTACAACGGCAAATTTGCCAATCAGCTCGCAGCATCACTGCCAGTTATGATCAAATATTTCCTTAATTCATGGGCCTCATGTTTAATTCAACAGTGATAGCAATAATCGGTTTAATTAATGTTCCAGCTAAGGCTGCTTCAGTTCTTACCAGTGGAATAAATATTGGAGAAAGAGTAATAGGAGGTAAGAGAGTACGAATTAATGTGGCTAAGACTCCGGCAGAGTCAATTCTAAGGATCCTTAAACCTGAGACAGTAAAACCCGCTGACAAAGTGCTTTTAGGAGGCTCACGCCATTACAGAACAGAGCCATTGCGTGGTAATCCCGGCAAACTCAA